AAATAACAGATTTATGATAGTTTTGCGTTTACTGGGTCAGTGGTGGGTGTGGATAATAAAATTATGGCATTCTGTTCATGGGGCACAATTAGCGTTTATGGGATATTCTAATTTATGAACAGCCAATACTGTTATTTGGTGCTTCAGCTTTGCTATGAGAGTCTAGAGCGAATTATCTTTGGCTTTTCTCATGTGAGCTATATTTGGCAAAAGATAATCTAGGCATTACATATATTTGGTTGGAAATAATTTTGCTATAGTTAGTCGATTAAAAAATTCTAAAATCTATTTATACATAAAATTTTCCAATGTTTAATATAATTATGATCTCGTTATTAATTTGTTTTATTATAGTCAAATTAATATCTATATATTTAATAAAAAATATATGCTGTCTAAGGCTTAAATGATCGTCAATTAAATCAATTGAATTTAACGTTACATTTAAATGATTTTTTTTAATATAGAGCAAGATTCGAACCTACAACCACTTCAATATTGCGTTCATTCACCTAACTCAACTATCGTGCTAATTTAAATTTAACAATAATCCCAACATTACTTTCAATTGACCACATAATACGCCAGCGATGACATGTAAAATTTAACATTAATCAAATATTAATATGAAAATGACTCATCAAAGCTTATGCTATTCTGTATATGTACTCAGTGCCCTGAGATTACATCGGACCACCCAGATGAAGTCACAACAATGACTTGACTCAAGTACAGATGCTGGATAAAAATTATATTAACATCATAATTATGACGTTTATATATTAATGATTAATGCATTCCCAAAGAGGGTTGATGTCAAGCAGGCGACCGTAAAAACAATTAGCCAAAATTGTGTTCTTTCTAAGAGTATTTAGACATCACTGATTAATGCATTCCCAAAGAGGGTTGATGTCAGGCAGGCGGCCGTAAAAACAATTAGCCAAAACTATTCACAACATGTAAAGCAGACCCTGGTTAAAGCTGGGAAATTGTCAGGTAGAAGAAGAAGGTGTAATATATTATATATATTGATAGACACGTAAGATGAAAAGTACCTTTATTATGATTTTTAAGGAAAAGTACATTATAAGAGAAGTTTAAGTTATTTTTTCTTACGTTTAGATTACATCAAACGTGATACTATAGGCGGGATGAAAATCTTAGGAATTATTATAACTCCTATTTAATATTACGAGTATATTGTTGTAAAACTAAATTTCATATATGAGCAACTGACAAGGTAATTGTTGTAAATCGTTATCACATCTTAATCATTTCGTTCCTTTTATCTTTATAATGTAATTAAAGATTAAAAGATAAAAATATTCTTCGAAAGTTATTAACAAATGAATCATTTATAGTCTCTTAATAAGACGAAGCTTCCGTTCACATAATGATGTCATGCTTTAAAGATGTCAATTACGAAATTAACGCGCCAAATGAAATGTCAATCGATTCTGACAGTTACAGTGTTCAGTGTTGCCACTATAATTATATTAACCCTAAATAATTAAGTACTTGACAAGTGTGTATTAATTGTTTTAAAAGATGTTCTATGATACTTAATATGTAGTTTTAAGGTGGCAATACACTTGGCGTTGCGTATTCGCAACATTTGTCGAAATATTTGTACATAGTCCAAATAGCGCAAACACGACATCCACACTTGGCATGCCAACAATACGTCTATACGGGTTTCCGCTTATTTGTGCAAATATGTCAAATAAAGACGAATAAATTCTCCACACATGGTCTTATTTGGCCGAACACAACAAATAAACGTGCTCTCTTTATATTAAGCCTATATTATTTAAGTATGCTTTCACAAGTTTATATTAATTGTTTTTTAAAAGACATTCTCAGATATTTAATATGTAGTGTTACTTACAAAGTAATAGTACCGAAGCATATTTGGGTCATTTCCTTATTTAAAGTTTTACGAGCTTTTATGCTGGTAATATTTTAGTGTCCGAAATGGCGTAATTTAGCCACGCTGGATTTACTTTAGGTATTTTAGTCTTCCTAATATATTAAAAAAACTCTTATATTTTATATTTATGACTCCTATTGTTTATTTCGTTTTTTATAGGTTATGATACCAAATAGAGTTTTTCGTGTGAGAAGCAAATGTAAACTGAATATAGTTTTTCATATGAAAAGCGAATGTAAACTAAATATGTGTCAAGGACGTTCTGTTAACGTGCAAATAATAATATGTAAACATCTGCTAGAGATAATACACCTGTTATATTTAAGATGATGGTACAAATTATGATTGTACGAAGAATAAGGAAACTAGCCTGTTGTAAATGTGTTTTAAAAATGAATTATTATTCTTTAAACAAGATATCTTCTCATAATTAAAAATGTTTTATTTTTAATTAAAAGAAAATTTCCCTGTTCCTTTTTATTGAATATCCTTCTTAAGTTTTTAATAATTCAATTTAAGACACAATTATAATTAAATATATCTTTACTTCTCAGTGAAATGATAAAATAACATGAAAATCCAATTGTTATTTTTTATTGATAAAATAGTATGTATTATATAGATATGAAGATAATTATTAATATTTATATAAGTGAAGATTTATTATTAAACTTCTTAAAACGCCGTCGTATATAACTTGTACCACGAGTAATATTAATAAATATTTGTAATATTCAATGTTAACATAATAATATCGTGTTTATGGAAATGTACATTATATACAAGATTGTTTGAAATTTGCATTGCAATATTAAACCACAAAAAAATACTTAAAAAGCCATAAAAATTACATGTTTCATAACCCATATTCTTCTCTATAAAATCTTTTACCTTAATAGCACTTAAACCATTCACACTTCGAATACACCAATAATTATATACTTAAAAATCCAAAAACATAACTAACATTTTCGTAATCGGTTCACATGTAATGGTATTTCAAAGTTGAGAGTTACACTTGCACTCGTAACCATAAATAAAACACTTCAGTTTGTTATATTATCGTTTAAAATTATTTAAATACCGGATGTAACCGGTTATAACCAGTTTCTATAGATCCCTTATTTCAAATAATTCATTTATTTTCTTCAATTAAATGTTTTTTATATACTACTAGAAGACCTGGCGAACTTCGTATCACCCTATAATAAGAAATAACTATTACGTTTTTTTATTTATATTTTTGGAGTTTACCTGTAAGCCATAAATCTCCGTGTTTTCAAGTGCGACAGAATGATTGACATATTAGTTACTTGTCAAATCTAATGTCAAAAAAAAAAAACGTTTGAATGGGAAATAGAAAAGGGCTGTTTCTATGGTTTTCCCAGTAATGAATCAATTTTTTTCAGCTTTTATACCTTCCCTGAACCTCCACGAACATTTCAAGACTAAGATGAGATTAATCCGTTCAGCCGTTCTCGAGTTTTAGCGAGACTAAGGAACAGCAATCCATTTTTATATATATAGAAGATATAGAAATAAGACATACATATAATACATCTGTTGTAATGTAATGTAAAAACAGCTATCAGAATAACATTACGAGCTAACTTTCTAATACAAATTTATAACTGTGGAGAGTCAATATATATTGTTTTTTTTCCAATATGCTTATTTGTAGAGTAAATACATCTTGCAGATTATAACAGAATATAAGGTACGTAATATATTTAGGGATTATTTTATTACGCTTACCATGAGTCACGATAAAAACTACGTAACTCCAGTTTCTGAGTAATTATTTATGTACTCGTATTTACGTAGATAGCATTATAGGTAGATTTATGAAGGAAAAACTTTAAACTTATAGTAAAATTTTTGTTCTTGTACATACTAAGGAAGGGATAATTATTAAGGTTTAATTGATTCTGAACTATATTACGTATATATTAAAGTATATAAAAGGTATTTGTAATTATTTGCATTATTTATCAGAAGCTTTCTATGAAATTTAATGTTTTATTTTTCATGATGTGGAATTGATTTTAGTTTAATTTTAAGAACATTTACTTTTTATTTTTATATATATTACATAATATCATTATAGTAACGAAATAAAACAAAAAAAATAATTAATTTCGATGTCAAACAAATAACAATAATAATTTAAGATCAATACAGATTTTCTTAAAATTAATATTATATATACTATTATATCGAAAAGTCATACATTTTTTATATTTCTATCGTATCATATACTTATTTCTCAATCCACACCAATGATTCAGAAATATTTGATCAGCTGTACATATGATTCATAACAAATAAACATTAATATCATAGGGTGAAACTGAAAGATTTTCAATACAAATGTTATATATCGGCATTATTTCTAAACCAAAGTCTATTTATTATTATTATTATTTGTATATTTTTCCATAGTTAAAACGCGACCTGTTTTTGTATTCGGGACGAGGACAATGTAATGTTGCTAATTGAAGGTCATTTGTCATATTTATTTTAGGCTGTTTATATCTTTTAGCATGGGAACTATTTTATAGTGCTGTTTATCTTTTGCTAAAGACTTGGATCGCGTAAAAATAACACGCCGGTTTAATTCATTTGAATGGTGTATTACTTTAGTTATGATGTAATAATATATTTTATATAGATATTTAAATTTAAATACGTTCACCGTAATGTTAATTTACAGAAGATATGTATTTTAAAACACCCAATACATCATGATTACATTTGTAATAATTAATAATTCCGCCCGTAGCTTCGCCCGCGTGGAGTTCGGTTATATCGCGTTTCCAAGAGAAACTTTCAAAAGTCTGGGATAAAAACTATCCTATGTTCTTTCTTAAGGTCAACTCTATCTTTGTACCAAATTTCATTAAAATCAGTTCAGTGGTTTAGTCGTGAAAGCGTAACAGACAGACAGGCAGAGTTACTTTCGCATTTATAATATTAGTAGAGATAATAACAGAACCTTTTTCAAAGACAATTATTTTTAATCTGTGATCATTTTGACAGTTCCGAAATACAAGTATTGGGAACTGTCAAAATGGTCACAGATAATGTAAGTATGAATCATGAACGCGCTACGTCCAGCGAGTCTAGTATTTAATTGATGTTAATTGTACTGACCCGCTTGTTACTTCCTTATATACAACTATTATGTACGAAAGACCTTGGCCACTTGCATTTCAATTTAATACAGCATTCGTTTCAATTACATATTTGTATATACACTAGCTGACCCGGCAAACGTTTTGCCATATAATAAAATAGGGGTCGGTGATAAAAAATGTAAAAATTTTGGATCGTATGTATTTTTAATGATACCATTATAAAAAAGTAAAAACAAAAAAATTTCGTCCAAAAAATAAATAAGGGTGAACAACCCAATGACTTAGGGGAAAAAAAAATAGATGTTGGTCGATTCTCAGACATATTCAATATGATTACAAAATGTCATCAAAATCGGTCCAGCCGTTTCTGAGGAGTTCTCTGTCTAACACCGCGATACGAGAATTTTGTATATACATAAGAATATATAGAAAAGAATTCAATGTCCTTGATTTAAAAAGGAATTTAAATTGTTTTTTTTTATTTAATGAACCATAAACTTTTTTATTCTGACAATATAAAAAAAATAGCATAAAGTTCTTAATGACAAATTAAATGCAATGATTCAGGTAAGGTCAGCATAATTAATTTATTAGAGTGCTTTGACAAATTACACATTACTCGTAAAAGGGATGCGTCATGTGGGTAGAACAGTTTCCTGGTAAATTAGAAGAAAATTTTAATAATTAAATGCAATTTGTTTTTTTTTCCTGAAATTTATTGTTTTATTTAATAAAGTTTACCTAAAAATTAAAAACATTAAATATAGGTATGTACTTCGTTCGAAAATCGCTAAATAAATTATATACTATACGCTTAATAAAATTATAATAAACGCTGGTCTCCATGGAAGATATACAAACTCTGTTACGGGGCTTTATAAACGCAATAGTCATTACATACTAATAAATTCGTTAAAATATCTGAACAATTTTAGGTGCGGTTTTCACTAACATGATAAATGAATTGAAGATTCATTTAAATATATAAATACATATTATCTACAATTAATGTATAAATTCGATTATTTCGTACATTACGTGTAAAGTCACGGGCACAGCTAATTTATAATGAAACATTGTTCGGAATGTACTATAAAAGCTTCGTAAATCTCCACAGTTCTTGAATCATTCCTGTTTAGTTCATTCAAATGTAAAACTTAACTAATTTGTATGCATGATACGATCCTATAGAAACGTAGACACACAGTCTTACCTACACCTATGACGTCATCGATATATTTAATAACATAACGTATTAAATTAAAGATTAAATTAAAATAATTAATTGCCAACCTCCTTGGTCTATATTGTCAGAATAGACCATGCCTTTGCCTGAATTCAATTGAATAATTAAAAAAAAATTATGTCAAATTTGTCAATGTCACATAAAAATATTTTAAAACAATTTACATATTAAAAGCCAACAAGTAATAATAAAAACTAACGAAATATTTTCAAGTAATCTGTATTCATTGTGTGACAACTACACGCGGTCTCTCCATAATACGCGCGATTTGCATTCTCAAAGCTTCCTCTTTCTCATGAATATACACTAGCCATTCGTCCCGACTTCGTTTGTATTAACGAAGGTTTTATTCCATACATTAAAGGAACAGAGAGCGGTTTACGTTGAATTTTTAAGGCATTTCAATACGTACCTACAATTTTTATCGTATTATTTTTCTACTGTCTAGTATGAAGAGTATAAATTTAACATAACCATTCTTACCACAAATGCATTTACTTTAATACGTACGTATCAACGTAAAAAATATTAACTTACAATACAATTTAATTAATATATCAATATACATAAATATTTATACTTAACATTACATTAACAAAGTAAACAAAGTATGTTAAACACATAATAAATATTGTTCAATCCTTGATGTAATTTGTAAGTAGCATTCAAGACTGTGCCATAAATGGTGAAGTTAAACATATTGTATCAACAGCGATCGGGAAAATGCATATATGTGGTGTAGGATGTGGTGCTAGATGATAGATGTAGCGGGATTGTTTTAAATGTTTTAATATAGTCAGAAGTGAATTAAATTTGTAATATCATATCTTAATTAGCACGTACATATGTAATGAAATGACATTTAATTAAAGTCAAATTTGCCGCGCTTAATGCGTTTGTAACTTGTCGACTAAAGACGCGTCACTAATGGCGGATTATGCTTAAGTTTTTGTGCATTTTATAATTATTAAAAAGTGTTAAGAAATAAACTAAGGTATATACCTAATTGAAGAGGTAATATTAGCGGACTTTAATGTTATTTCTTTGTATTTTCAGGTAAGATAAGAATATAATTGTCATAGTTAAACGATAATTGTTATTTTGAAGGCGTGTTAAATAAAACAAAACGCTGATTAATTTTGTATTTGGTAAATATTATGTACACTTATCATTGACGTACATATCTGTTGTTATAATATAGTCACCTTCCTTAATTGAAAACTTTTAATATGTATGTTATTAGTGTGTTTATTATAAATAAATAAATTTTTCAAACCGCGCTCTCCTATATATTGTACCACACGAGTTCCCAGGCGTTTTGTTTGCCGACGCTCATGTCCATTATATCTCTGTAAAGGCTGTATTTATGTTAATAGATCTATTTTGTAATTCATCAGACCTACACTAGAATAGTTGAAGTATCTTGTTATAATACCTATATGCATATGTTTGGATTACAATCGAAATCCATTGATGGTTAGGGAAACATAGGTTCTTGTTTTAATGGGTAAAACCCGTATAAAACATTCTCAAAACAAACAAATTTATAATATATTGAAATTGTTTAAGTCCTTATAAGAATTGCATTTGAATATAATTTTATTTATGTCTTGATTTCTGTATATAGTCCTAGATGAGATAGATAAGTTTGTTAAGTTCTAAGAATTGGTTATATTAAACATCCTTCGTTATTGAATTTTACGTAACGTAACGTAACCTAAAGTTAAAACTTAAGTTTTTGTATCTCAAAAAATAATGGAACTTTATATATTAAACAAGATCATAACGCGAAATTATATAGTTTTAAGTCTTCGGACATTTATTTCAAATAGAATGAAAAATTCATTAAATGATATATTAAAAATAAATCCCGATCATTATAACAGAAATATATAACATTAGGTTAATTTTAACAAAAAATAAAATAGCAATAACGCAGAAATAAATATTACATATTGATTTATTATTTTATTTTCCAGAAGCGAGACACTCAATGGAGAGACGTGAAACGTATGAAATGAATTATGACGATGTTCTAGCTGATGAGGCCACTGAAGAACAGAATGATGCTGAAGGTAAGATGATCATCACACATCAAGGAGTGATTGAAGCTCTTAATCTTCTTCTACCTGGCAATTTCCCAGCTATAGCCAGGGTCTGCCTTACATGTTGTCAATAGTTTTGGCTAATTGTTTTACGAGTGGCCTGCCTGACGTCAACCTTCTTTTGGGAATCAGCATTAATCAGTGATGTCTAAATAATCTTAGAATGTACATATAATTCGTAAAAATCACATTGGTATTTGCCAGGATCGAACCCGCGCCCTCGTGTATGAGAGGCGGGCCTCTTAACCACTAGGCCATCACTGACTGATGGAAGCTCTTAATCATTCTTCTCATTCTAGCGAAAACCCCATCATTATGAGTTCATTTCATCAGTTAAAATGTCTTGATTTGTTATCACTCTTTCGTCTCCCAAATATTACGATTTTTTATTGTGTTATTATTATTTATCTTTGCATTTTATTCCATGCTATAAATAAGAGATTTTGTAATGATCATATTTGGCATTTATTAAGTATGTTACAACAGAAACTAGCGTGTAAAGACGAAGTATAAAACTAGTTATCAATAGCAATAAATACGAAATAAAATTTTGTCTTAATTAAACAAAACTATGACATTAGGTCGTGGTGTCCTAAAGGTTAAATGCCCGCCTCTCGTGACCGTATCAATGTCAAATATACTTTCTAAGAGTATTTAGACACAACTGATTGACGAAGGAAAACATCGTGAGGAAACTTGGACTTATTAAATTATAAGTTTGAAATCACCAACCCGTTGAGCAAGCGTGGTGATTAATGCTCAAACCTTCTCCATGTGAGGAGAGGATTTTCAGCAGTGGGCTCTGATATGATGATGATGATATTTTAATATATTTTTAAATATAAATAATAATCTTTCAGGTAACGATGTTGACGAAGACGAACCAGTAGACTCCATAATAGAAACGCCTTCAAAAAATTACACAGCAATAGTTGGTGAAGATGTTAGATTGGAGTGTAAAGTATCTCCCTCATGTAAGTGAATTATAAATATATGATTTTCCTACTAATATTATAATTGCGAAAGTTTGTGAGTGTGTGTGTATGTTTGTTACTTCTTCACGCTCAAACGGCTGAATCGATTTTGATAAAATTTTGTATACACGAAGCTGACGTCCACGAATAGCACATAGGCTACTTTACATCAGCTGTTAGTGACTATATAATAACCAGTGATATATTCGTTTAACTACAAAACTAATATTAATTAATGGTTTTTGAAAATATTAACCAAGTTAGAATGATGTTTTATACTTTACGATAAAAATGGACCGAAAATTTAATCGCAAAATATACCATCAATAATTCTAATTAATATTGATTATATCGTTTAAATTATTTATTTGGTAAAAAGATATGTTAAAAACTATCAGAATTTTACTTCAAGCTTGTATTATTATGTAATTAGAGAGTCATCATCATCAATTTGACCTTATAATTAAGTTCTACATATTCCTATAAATCAAGTCCTATGTCCCATGTCAAATAACCTCTGGGTTATCAATATATAATAAACAACTTCCTCATGACGGCATACTGTCTGTCAGTCCGTTAGCCGGAAGTTCAGTTTTGGCGCCACCGGAAAACCGCCATCTTGTGGTGTCAGTCCAAGCAATTATTTATAGCCGTGAGCTTTATGGACCATTAGAATGTAATAATTATGATACAGACAATTTAAAGGACATGTATGTAACTGTCGCGTTGATTTTATGTAGTTTGTGTGTTTCTGTTGAATATTTTCACACAATTCCCGTGATATTTTTAATTAAAACCGAAGAAGATAAAAAAATTGTTTAGAAATGAAGTAATTTTTCAAACTGCTTTTGAATAAAGCAAATATATTTCACGTACACTAATAAAATAACACTAAAAGATTTGGAATGTACTTCGAAGGCAGCCCTAGTAGGTTCTTTTCTAATTTGGTAGAGAGAGGAGTTTGGACAGTGTAGGTGAGCGTTTAACGCGTTATATAGGGTCCCTTAAACCTAAACCTGGGTCACAAGTCCCAGTCACTGTTGAAGCTCCTCTCACTACAACGATGGACCCGACACACGCACCGTGAATACATAGAATGATGAGAGGTTTCGTCTTATATATGTATGTATATAATTGTTTTCAGTTGGTGCCGTGGTAGAATGGAGTAGAGATAATACCAAATACTTCCTGGGAACACTCAAGTCTATGGAACAAGATCTTAACACGTACGGAGTCGACTCGGAGAGAATTTCTATGTAAGTCAAAAACAACTAACATATTGAATGTAATGGTTATTATAAGAAAAAAGCAAATTAAATGATGATGATGAAAAACAGCATTAAAATCGTAATTAATTTTGATGCCCTCATATTTTTAAGATATTTGGAAATGAATACTTTAGTTCTAAATATTAACTGTATTAACGGGGTTTCTAGAAAATAATATGTATTTGTAAATACACAGTAAGATCCATAAATATCTTTGGATGGAAAATTTTCTTCCGAATTTAACCTGCTATTGAAATTTTTTCAATATTAAAAAGGCCCATACGTAAAAAATTACCCATACATAAATCATTCTTATGGACGTATAATTCTATCACTTTGCAATGTCAAAAAGTAGCATTTAAGTTTGTTATCAATATGAATTATGCTAACATACATGTGTTTACACCCGTCTAGCGCTGCTAATTCCACGGATCTACTTATCCGCGGCGTTAAACATGAAGATGCGGGCTCATTTGCTTGCACCCTGATGCAATTCAAACCTCAAGTCATCACACACCAACTGACTGTACTGGAATATCCGAAGATTGTCAGTGAGTACCAATCCCTACTAATATTATAAATGCGAAAGTAACTCTGTCTGTCGGTCTGTCTGTTACGCTTTCACGCCTAAACCACTGAACCGATTCTAATGAAATTTGGTACAGAGATGGAGTTGACCTTGAGAAAGAACATAGGATAGTTTTTATCTCAGACTTTTGAAAGGTTCTCTTGGAAACGCGATATAAACGAACTCAACGCGGGCGAAGCTGCGGGCTGAAAGCTAGTCATACACAAACATATACCCAAATATGGGACTATACGCAAAAAATGTTGTAACTAGATTTAGAATAATAATATGTCGCTGAAACCGAAAAGATATTTTGTTAATCCATTTTTAATGTTTGCTAAAAAAGATATATAATATTTTTTAAAGAATGACGTTATAAAATTATAAATGATTAAGAGGTATTAATCCCTGAAATGAATATTGATATCTAAGAATCTGCTGCTCGCTGCAAGTTAACCGAAACATATTGTATAATATAATAGAAAAACGCGTAACAATAATTATTAGTCTTAGTTTAACGTATATTAATTCCTAACAAACATTTTCCATGTCATAATTACTGCAAAATAACCTATATTATATAATATAAAATGGTTGGAGTAGTGTAATATGTCGAGGAATTCTGGCATTTTATAGTTTATATATATATATAAATGTGAGCGTCTGTCGTACACCAATAGTTTTATTGTCTTTTAAGAATATTTTTTTCCCATGTAAGCTTGTTTTCTTCATTAAAAATAACTATTAATAAATATTTTCTATATACTCCAGGTTTCACAGCTAGCAACGGCGGGTCAGTAATCGAAGGTTCGTCTGTTTATCTCACGTGTGAGGCCTCTGGCTCGCCACCTCCACAAATCGTGTGGTCGAGGGACGTGGACGGAGTGGTGAGTTATACACCTAGTGGATGACTTATTTCTGTTTTTGAATGAATTGTTTCTATTTTAAAATGAATTGTTTCTATTTTTGAATGAATCGTTTCTATTTTCGGTTGAATTGTTTGATTTTTGGATGAAATATTCCTGTTTCTGTATGACTTGCTAAGTGTTGACAGATGAATGTGTGTATATAGTTTTGCATTGATATTAGTATAGTTAAATATTGAAATATAACTTGTATTTCATCAAATAACTAATGTTAGGAAGTTAGACTGATGGCATATTTATTTTATTTAAAAGATAAATGTTGAATATTGAGCTTTAGTTGTTAAAGATAGAAGTATAAACACTTTTAGGTAACTATTTAGGTTCTAAAAAATAATAGAATTATCACAAACACACACACACACAAACTTTATAAATACAAGTTTATAGAATAAATTGAGTATTATTTTTTTTATAATACCTTAGGTTCAGGATTGCTTCCTAATCTTCTATTCTTATCTTTCCTATATTTATATATATGTCTCTTTCTAACATTATAGAACGAACGTCTGCAAGAAGAGGACGGAGAATTCCTCGGTAACTACGTTTATATTAGAGATATCAAACGCGAGCAATCCGGAAAGTATTACTGCTATGTATTCAACGGTATTGGAGCGAACCAGGCCGAGGTCACAGTTAATGTCAGAGGTAAGATAGATTTCATTGTTAGGTAACGCAGATTTGTACAACAGGTAAATTTGATTTGTGTGACAGGTAAATCAGATTTGATCGAAGCGTAAGTCAGACTTGTGCCCACAGGTAAATTCACTTATTTACCTGTCATATATTATTGTAATAAAATGATTTCATGTAATATATTAAAAATATATAACATATACAAATGTTTTTTCTATATCGTATTATATATAAGTTTATTTTATAGGCAAGCCCCGTGTTCATGTCCACAACACTATTGTAAATTCGGCAATCAATGTTGAAGCTGTCTTGCAATGTACGGTCCACGATGAGCCCGGGTGAGTTCATTATACATATATACGTCTCTCTCACACATTATATTAATATATATACAAGAAAAGGATAGATAGTAATAATAAACATTATTTCACTCCTAAATTTTATTCACCTCGGAAGAAGTATCTTCTCTAAATATTCCGAACCGACAATGTTATTACAATTTTACAATTACATATTATAAGTTTGAAGTCACCAACCCGTCTTGAGCGCGCGTGGTGATTAATGCTCAAACCTTCTCCATATGAGAAGAGGCTGCTCAGCAGGGGGCTATTAATATATCTAGAATTAATTAAATAATCAAAATAATAAACCAATACTGTATTATTTAATTAACCTCATATTACTATAATAATTTCCTTCATTATTCCAGTGCTCATATCCGTTGGTACAAAGATGGTCAACAAATCGAGAGCATCTCCCGCCAGTACGACATCAGCACTCGCGGGTTACACTCTAACCTCACTGTACTACCGACATCCGACAGAGACTTCGGCACATTCACTTGCGAGGTCGGTTAAAACATTCAATATAAACTTAAATAAAGAAATATTAATTAAATGTATGACGCCAATGACTCAAAAATTAGACCTAATACTATCTTACGATATCACAGTATATTTATAAATATCAAAAATAAAAATACTATAACAATATCATTTTTAGATACTAAAAATCTACATACATATGTATTTATTATTTTGAGTTGCCTGTAAGAGATCGCTTTTAGTGATAAGGCCGCACTTGCCTTCATTCTGTATTTATATGTAATGTTATTTCCTATGATATTGAGTTCAATAAAGTATATTTCTATTCTATTCTATATTAAAAAAAAATCTATTCAAATTTTCATCCATTAACCATTTATCTTGAGTAATACGGGTTTGCACCTAGTGCAGGGGCCCTTGCAAACTTGTTTGTTATGTAATCCTTGAGTCAATTAAGTTTATTTTTTATTTTATTTTTTAACTTTAAAACTATTTCACTAATAATATATACATATTTCCAGGCTGAGAACGAATTCGGTTCACACAACCGTTCCATATCTCTCGTTCAATCACCTGTGATCCATTCGTTGGAGACTGACGGACCTAGAATAGGAATCACTATAACTAGCCGAAGACCGCTACATACGATCGAGCTACAAGTACGAGAATTAGGAGTAAGTACATACATGATATATTAGAATAATTATAAACACTTATAAATCCTATTAAGTTACAACTTAATAATAATTCTTATAAAACTCATATCTCACATCAGAGTTTATTAAACGGATACGCCATTACAGTATCTCACTCAAACTAATATTAAACGTAAATTGAAATAAGCAACAATAATATAGTATTTACATTTAACTATATCAATATCTTCCTCTACCTGGCAATTTCCCAGCTACAGCCAGGGTCTGCCTTACATGTAAATAGTTTTGGCTATTTTTACGACCGGCCTGATATCAACCCTCTTTGGGAATGCATTAATCAGTGATGTCTATACTCTTATAAAGTACATATGACTCGGAAAATTCACTGGTACTTGTCAGGATCGAACCTGCGCGCTCATGAGAGGCCTTTTAACCACTAAACCACCACTGACTCCATAGATAGATGATATTACTGGATAAATAATAAAAAAATGATAAATACAGTGTAAACTCTATATAACGACACTGAAGGGACCGTGCATTTTAGTGCGTTATAGAGAGTTGCCGTTAAATAGAAAGAAGAAAAATCAGAATTAATAAAAGACAAAGTTTATTTCAGACTAGTGTTAGTACTTATGTTCATAAAAAAGAATGTTATAGTTTGAGATTTTGTGAGAAACTTTTTATGTTAACGTATAGGGAATACAAGACTCCTACTTGTGGTCAAAAACCGTCGACACGTGTAATCAATTTGTAATTGTAAACAAAAGAACGAATTTCTTAGAAAGTTCGGTATGGATGATAGGGACAGTCGAGTTTATTGCGGGCTAGGATAACAAAGCGACAAAGGAACGTACACAGCTGCACAGTTTTTACTAATTTTAGCAACTTAAAAGGTACTTTTTATTACTTAAATGTTGTCGTTATTGAGAGTTGGTGTGCCGCTATGTAGAGTGTATCATTGTATGGTAGACAATAGAAACCAACCAAAGTCAAATGATTTCGACGCTTTAGAGAGTTTGTCGTTAAATCGAGTGTCGTTATATAGAGTTTACACTGTATATACTAATTTTCAATTTTTCCCAACAATAAAGGTCGGTGAATGGCGTACATTCAACATCCCGGTACCAACGCCTTCATCACACGAATACTCGATAGCTTACACGGTAAATGATCTTGAGGCTGGCAAATACGAGGCAGTAGTGCGAGCACAGAACGACCACAGCTGGAGCGAGCACTCAGACTCCGCATTACTCGATATAGGTAAGTGCAAATATAACTTACCTGAGCCAAACTTACCTTAGTCAAACTTACCTGACGTAGATTATGTTACCTGATGTCATTTTTTTTTTTTTTTTTGTTTGAAGTGATTTTTTTTTGTATAAAAATTGTTTTAATTGCTTCATTAATAAATCGAGTCTTGTTGAAATTAATTAATAGTTAAAAAGTCAGTTTCGTTGAAATGTATCATAGTTTTATTTAGTGTTTTTGTCATTTAGAATACAGTTAGTGTTGTTTTTACTTTTATTTCGTTTCACTTATCATTAGTAAATATTCATTTCATTTTTTGTATTTTTTTGCATGATTTTAATTTCTTTTTTTCTGCTTTTTCGTTATTTTAGAAGCGAAGCCGGAGTACATTCAGCATGCTTCAGGTAAAATATATTTTTCGCTTCTTTAGTTATATGATGTTGATAATTTACTTTGTTAATTTCTTTCTTTGACCGACTTCAAAGATAGCAAACCATATATAAATATATATGAACTAATCCCGTTTTTTTCACATTAAAATTATTCTTATAACAGTATACGTTTCATCAAAATCGTCACACCTTTCATTATGAATAGGTTTTATTACTTTATGATTTATCTTTTTCAATACTTATCATTTATGTATAGGTTTTCTTTGTTTTCTTTATGATCTATCTTTATCTTTTTTAATACTTACCTTTATATATTCCAGTGTACAGAGGTAACTCAGCGCATTCCGTGAAATCAATCGCCCTCACAACTACCCTCATGTATCTCCTGGTACGAACGATGTGAACAGACCTATAGAATAATTATTTATTATTAATAACGATATAAGACGTTTAATTTAATGCAGCTTCTAGATGTGACTAAAATATTAATGCTATAAAAAAAAATTTTTTTTTGTTCATATTTTTTCGATTCGCATTTCTTAGAAATGCCATGAAAAAAAACGCCCAGTTACTTAATTTCGAACGAAACAATACAAAATTTATAATAACCGAACTATTCTACATTTATATTTAATTTACTGTAAATATTATGTTTTAATGGAACTAAATAAATGACCACGACATTCATTTAAATGTATAATTATAACGTTTATTTTAATCTATAAAATGACCATACATTTTGATCATTCGTCTACTTTATATGTATTCTATTAATTTTCTCACAATTAATTTTAGTTTATATAAAAAAATATAGGTAATTATTACCAAAGTGTAATTAAGTGTTAAATTCAGTCTTAGTAATAGATATGCTTATATAATTTCTTAGTGGCATGTAATTTTTTTTGATAAAAAGCCTTTTTGCAAGCAAAAATACGTTAAAATATTATACAAAATAAGTGTAGTTATAAAAATGTGCCTATAATACAATAGTTTTCAAGGTGCTGAACCTAAATCGATGTAACTGTATTCTTCCATAGCGTATATGATATTGAGAAATCAAAAATCTATCAAATAATATATCCGTATATTTTCAATATAATAAATATTACCTAGTTACAAAATTTTGAGTACATTTTTTTTAGATTTTCGTCTAGATTTTTGATTATTCAATGTCTATTGTAACCAACTAGTCTTTAAAATAATTGCTTAACTAATTAACCAATACTTAGTAAGGTAATCCATTCAGGTTATTTATAGTAATGTAACAAAAAGTACAATCATAAATAATATTTTTGTGAAATCGTCATTTTTTATTAATAAAAATATGTCTTCAAGTTTTTTGAAATGTTATATATAATATATTGCTTGAAAAAAATCTTTACAAAGTAAAAAAATACAAAAAATTCAATACGCATTAGTTATTTTCAAATAAATCAAATGTAACATAAATTAATAGATTTTTTTTTTCAAATGAATGTAAAAATATATGAATTCATTTGAATTAAATGAAATAATTCATTTAAATGTTGAAATTGTAATCGAAACTAAATGTGACGTTTGTAATGACATGCTTCAAGTTCGTGCCTTCATTCAAATGCTGGAGGTGATATTTTTTTTGTCTTTAATAAACAATTAATGTTTGTAAATAAGTATACATGAATATTTCTTTGTTTTATTTATTATGACCTTTTAAATTATAGCAAAAATACACCAAAACCCAGGGCATAATCGTTGTATTCATATAATGTATTTAAGAAAATTTGGAGCTCATCTAAAACTGGTTATGCATCTGAAGATTATGTATAAAACATGAAAGCCCTATTTTTGTTAATGCATAAAACATGAAAGCGCTATTTTTGAAGCACTTTCTTATTTTCTCTACTAGTTCAATTTCCTAGAATAAATTAATCATGAACTCAAGATAATTTTATTCAAACATAATCATATTATTTTGAATATACATAGTACATAAAAGAAATAACATAGATTGCACTTCATGAAAGTATTGCAGTGATGTTTTAATACGGAAAAGTAATCGAGCCCAAATCTATTATTATTATAAAATTCTCACTTATGATTATGATTTCGGTAAAATTTATAAAGAGAAACTATACACCAAAAATAGCTTTATATACTATGTATAACAGTTAATAATTCATTAAAAAGCTTTAACTTGTTTAAATTGAACCGTCTATAGCCATTGTTGGGAAGAGATTTTTGTTGGTACGGAAGCGCTAAATTGAGCAATATTTAAACAAAATAGTAATAGATTTGATTAGGAGTAAACAAAACAATAGTTAAATGCTATCTCATTATAAAAACATTATCATTAGTTTGTCAATTAGTTGAACCCTGGGTGGGTATCATGAAATATTGTGAAATTTGTTAATATGAGGTATCACGTTTATTTAACGTTTGACGATAAAAAACATCCGTAATAGATAAATTTGAATATATACTACCTTTTATTCCTGGCTTCGCTCGCTAGATTTTAGAACCATATTTTAGATTGAATTGAAATGAAAAGAACAGATACCATTATGCGTTTTATAAATATTTTTCTAGAAAAATCATTCTTAATATCAATTATTTTGTAAAAGGAGGTTTGTATCGCAGATGCAATGTATTCTTCTGTTTTCAATATTTTAAAAGTAATAATTTTTCTGTCATGTTTTGTATTGTTTAAGTCCGTAAAATATCGACGGCGATGTTTACCTCTGTTGTAAGTTATTTTTAAAATTTTTATTTAAAAAACAAAACCGTTTTCTTAGCAACAGGAGTATGTTTAGATCAAAATTGTCCAGAATCTTGTATTGCAAGATATAACTTGGTTTTAGTTTCTTCTAAATCTTAACATTTTATTGCTCAATTTTATTATGTTACATAGAAAGAATATTATTTATTTATTTTATGGTTTTCAAAAGTAAAAAACGAAAAAATGGAATCTGAACATAAAAAGTATAGATATAATGACATTTTTTACAATATCATATGTATATAGTCACCAAAAAAATATATTGTTTATTTTTCTACAATGTGACAATGATAAGAAAACGTGACCATTAGAATAGAAACATTTACATATATATATATATAAATAAATATATTGCTGTTAGATAATAATCTATTAGGATTTTGTTTGTATTTAAATTTTATAATTTTTCAAAATATAATTGCCAACAAATCTATCATAGATATATACTCTGATGAAAAACAAATGTATGTAAAAAATTTATTAATAGGAACACATCAGAAGACGGTCACCAGCTCATAGAAGAAGTCATCACAAATATGAGATAAAAGCGACTGGGGAAGCTGCGAAGAACTACGATTTTTTAGCTGCAAGACCGCCAGGGAAACGGACCAAGTATCGACAAAATACTTTGACATAATGCGATATGCTCTTAGTTGTACATTTACTGTTTGTTCAGTTTGACAGATTATTGATTTTATATTTAATTCACTGTAGATAACAAGACAAGTAGTACAGTCTAAAGACGATTTTAGCTTTCAATATAAATAATGTACAACATACATTAATCATATATCTCTCCGAACTTATATATCGGAGTGAATTTTTCCAAAAACACCAACTAAGGCACAACAACTTATTGGCAAAGCTAATGTTATGAAAGATCTCATGATTTGAATCAAAATTTTTATATTCTGCCTTAATTTCTTCCCCATTTTAATGACTTTTTTTATATTAAAGAACAAATAAGTCGTCTATAGACTCAGCATTCAGTTAAACATATAAAGTGATTATTACGATTAATATACAAAATGCTTTATAGTGTCATAGAATCGATTGGTCATTTGGTCAAGAGTTGTCTCGGCGGTGGAGTGGTCGCTATTCACGAAGCTTACAAACAATGCGGCCTCTGGACATCTGTAGTTCTCACAGTTATTCTTGGCATCTTTGTGGCTTATTTGATGATGGTATATTTACAGGGCGTTGCTTTTCAATCCAATGAATTTAACATTAAAATGGAAATCTCAAAATAAACAGCATCTTTTAGGCATGCAGTGCTAAGATAGTTTAATTTCATTAAAATAATTTAAGGAGTGACACGCTACTTAATAAACCTACAGTAATAATTATCCAGATGCTCGCTCGATCCGCTCAAAAAATCTACGGGCGTGTTCAAATACCTCAAATGTCATATCCTGATTTAGCTGAAGCTGCCCTGGCGACTGGACCGTTTGTGAAATTAAGGAAATACTCGAAATGTTTCCGGTAAATAAAGAATTGATTGAATTTGGTTAGGTAGCGAGAGGAGCTTGGACGGTGGAGGTGAGCGTATAACGCGTTAGATAGGGGTCCTTTAAACCTACACCTGGGTCACAAGACCCAGTCACTGTTGAAGCTCCTCTCACTACAACGATGGACCCGGCACCCGCACCGTGAATGGCATGCTAAAAAGTTTCGTCTTATTAAAGGACTTGTATAAAAAGTAAGCCATCCTCTTAATATTTTAGATACGCTGTCGACGTTACTATTTGCATAGATCTATTTGGTTCTTGCTGTGTGTACCAAGTGATGATTGCTCGTACTGCAAAGCAATTAGTTGATGGAACTGACTTAGTTTCTGACGATGGCGGTATACCATTGAGAGCATATGTGGCCATGCTGCTGATACCCTGCCTTCTTCTATGCATGATCACATCACTGAAGTATCTCGCACCATTTTCCATTGTAGCTGATATTATAATATGTAGGCTCAAATCCTTAAATGTTTAAATTTTTTTCATATCATCTGTTTGTTTACATACCAATTTTTTTCTTTTAGTAACGGTTGCTAGCGCCACAGTGTACTATGCCATCAGACATTCTACAAAGAGTCCTTTTGAATTCGAAGCATTCAAAACGGCGTCCGGTCTTTTTGAATTTATGGGTGTCTGTGTGTTTAGTATGGAAGGTGTAGGAGTTACTTTGGCCATTGAAAACAATATGGAACAACCAAAAAAGATTACTTTGGTTCTAGCTGGCGGTGAGAATGATGGAAATACATAATATAAACTTTATTCACTGCTAAGCATTTAATATGTTTTCGTAATTTTTTTTAGGTATGTCAGTTGTCATTGGTATTGTTTTGACTGTTGGCTTCTTTGGCTACTGGGGATTCGGAGAGAAATCTAAATCACCTGTCACCCTTAATTTTCCATTGTCACCGTAAGTTTAATGCTATTGCAACACTGATTATATTTACAAGCAACATAATAATAATCCGAACTCTTACTTTCAGCTTTCCAATCGCGTTGAAAGTTGGCATGGCTGTGATGGTGTATGTGACGTTTGCCCTCAACTTCTGGGTACCATTCGATCTAGTCTGGTACTACATTAAACAAAAATACGAACCCGAAAAGTATTGGCTGTGGGAGAGAGTGTACAGAGCCATCTTTGTAACCACTATAACACTCATTGCTGTTGTATTCCCATCTGTGACAAAGTTTATAGGATTGGTAATTTAATCATTAGATACATTTTCAACTAATAATTCAATTAATTCATTTAATGCAATGAATTCTAATTTTAGCTGGGTTCTTTCTGTCTCTCCAATATGGGCTTCATATATCCATCATTTATTGAACTCTGCTTGGACTGGAATGACCCAGGACTAGGGGTCATGATGTGGCGGCTTTGGAAATTCGTTTTTATACTAATTTTCGGCACCATTCTTTGCATAATCGGTACATACAGCAACGCTAAAGAACTCATTAATGAAGTATTTACATAATAAACCTATTTTTTTTTCTAGGAAAATAAATTTGCTTTTGATATTAAAAAAAAAACAAATTGTTTTTGTATGCAACTGTTGTATATCTTTTTTTTAAATATTGGTTTCTTTCGTCTAATAAAATAATAATTTTTAATCTAAAGAATTATCGTTTTATTTTCTGTGTACCAAGTTTTAGGCCATATGCTGAGCGCATTTTTTTCGTTATGCATGTTAAAGTATCGAAGTTGTATAATATTGTAAATTAAACACAATTTTTGGAATGAAACTACAATAGAATCATTGTTCAATGTCTTAACAAAGACTGAATCATATATAATGTGTAAGATAATTAGTGACATTAAAGTATTTAATAATTTTTAAGCTTCATGAATAATAATACCTAGATCTAAAATTTATCTTAAAACTCCTGATTATTTTATGAAGTGACTGTCTCAATCTGTCATAGCCCACCCCTGATTAAAAATACTAGTTGAGAGTATTGATACAATTTTAATTCTTTTTTTAGGTAATTATATTATTATACAGTGTTAATTTAATTTTTCCAGTATTTTTAAAACGTTTTTTTTATATCAGGGAATTTTAAGAAGTTTCACTCCTACGTACATGTTAATCTTTCCAAATGGAAGAAAAAATTACAATGTAGTTTTACCAGTCTTTGCTTTATTGAAACTATGATAACACAACCATAATATTAAAATATTTTTATCAGCCTTTTTTTAAACTATTTTGTAACTGAATCTACGTAGAAAGGAATAAAAAAAAAGCCAACGTGATTGTTGCTGGCCGAAAACACTTATTACGAAATAAAATGAAATGAAATGAATTCTATCATTCATCATTATGGAAATTTATTTTAAGTGATCGTCATGATTGGAAATTAGTTTTACCTGTTATTAGGTTGTAAAAATTATTGCTACGATGGAGCTAGACTCGGTAAGCCGGCTCTGTAGCATATAATTATGTAGAATTACGTAGGTTTATATAAAGAAATCGCCGATATGAATCTGTTATCAGGCCCATATCGAAAATGACGATAGAACCCCACCTGATCGTACACGTCACAAATTTGAAATAAAAGCTACCGGTGAAGCCGCCAGGGCATACGACTTCAAAGCTGCCAGGCCACCGAAAAAGAGAACTAAGTAACATTTCGTGTCATAGAATAGAAGATCACTTGAAATATATTTATATAAATAAATGATTATTTTGCAGTTTAATAGAAACTATTGGAAACCTCGCAAAAACTTGTCTAGGTGGTGGTGTGGTTGCTATTCATGAATCCTACAAGATGTGCGGTCTTTGGACGTCTTTTGTATTAACTATTGTATTTGGTTTTTGCATCAGTTATGCTATGTATGTAAGTAAATTGATTGACAACTCAATTCCAAGTACGAACAGAACGGCTGGCATGGATTGATTCTTATTAATCTAGACAGTGAAGAGGGTTTTAAAATTTTCAGACGATTGCTCATTCTGCCCAAAGAATGTATGGGCGTGTACAAGTTCCTCAAATGAGTTACCCAGATCTTGCTGAAGCTACGCTCGAGGTCGGACCATTTGAAAAACTTAGGAAGTACAGTAAATCTTTTAGGTACAAAAACTTTGAATAATTTATGCCGAAATCATGTTCATGTTAAAAATAATAAACCAATTTCAAGTTGATCGTTAATTTGATTAAATAAAATTTTAGGTACCTTGTTGATTTCACCATATGTTTTAACTTATTCGGCTCCTGCTGTGTCTATCAAATCATGATGGCTCAAACTATTAAGCAGCTAGTGGAAGGTAGTAATGAAATTTCCATTGATGGAGATCCTCCGTTGAGGGTATATATTGTTATCCTCGTTATACCATGCATCCTTATTGGTATGATAACAAGTTTGAAATATTTGGCACCGTTTTCTATCATCGCTGACTTTATTATAAGTAAGTTTTCCTCATGTTTTATCACGCTAGCAAAAATGAGATGTACTTAGTAATAATGCATTTATTCGTGAGAATTCTCTACATTATTTTGCATGAATCATAGTTATTGTGTACTTGCAGTGACTGTGGCCATAGCGACAGTGTATTATGCAGTTAAAACAGCAGAAAACAGTCCGTTAGATATGCCGGTGTTTAAGAGTGTTGCTGGGTTGTTTGAGTTTATGGGCGTCTGTATATTTAGTATGGAAGGTCTGGGAGCCGTGATGGCTATTGAGAATAATATGGAAGAACCGAAGAAGATGGGTGTGGCCTTATTTGGAGGTTAATATAACATTCAAACAATCTAAAACAACATTTGAGGTTATTTACAGTTGAAAATGGTAATTTTTATTTGGTTTTTGCGAACAGGTATGTCAATAGTGGTCAGCATTGTTCTTACGATTGGATTCTTCGGTTATTGGGCTTTCGGAGAAAAATCAAAGTCTCCCGTCACTCTTAATTTTCCTTTAGATCCGTAAGTTTTTCATACAAACCATTATAAAAAAAGTATATAGCAAAGAATATTGTTTAATTATTCTCTAATCGGTACAGGTTTCCTATCGGGCTGAAAGTTTTGCTTGGGATTATGATCTATGTAACATTTGCACTGAATTTCTTCTTTCCATTCGAACTTATGTGGTTTTACATTAAAAAGAAATATGATCCGAATAAGTACTGGTTGTGGGAGAGAGTGTTCAGAGCTATATTTATTTGCGGTATCACGGCCATTGCTACTACCTTCCCAAAAGTTAACAAGTTTATCGGTGTGGTGAGTTTCGTTTTGTTAAATTAAATTGTGAAGTTGAAATACTTAAGATTTACTTTTTATTATGAGATCTAATACTTTCGCGAGAAAAAAATATTTTCGAATTGCTACATAAGCGTCATTTTATTATTTTTAACTACATATTCAAGATGTTTCGGTTACTTTGCAGCAACCGTGATTTAGATAGATTTAGATTTAACAGAGAGACGAGTTCTGACGAGAAAAATAATAACACGTAGCAATTCGATAATATTAGTTTCATTTACTTGATATTTTCTATACTTGCAGTTGGGATCATTCTGCATTTCGAATATGGGATTCATTTATCCAGCCTTTATTCAACTCTGTTTGGATTGGACTGACCCAGGTTTAGGGGTCATGTTATGGCGGTTTTGGAAATTTGTTCTTACAATTGCCTTCGGTCTCACGCTTTTCGTCGTAGGAACTTATACGAATGTGAAAGGACTAATTTTGGAATCGTTTTGATTTGTTATGTTTGTATATAATAATGTTGATTTTTTTTTAAATAAATTGTTGGTTTTTATGTACAATTATTTGTTGTTGTTGTGCTCAACTATTCAGTTCGAAGAGTCACTATAAAAAAAAATTGAGCTCTATTTTCAGTCATAATTAAAAGAATTCTAAAATGAATAAGGTGCAATTAATCCTAATATTTTGTCAGTGAGTGCTTGTTACAAGGATAAATTCATCTGTCAGGCTCTAAATAGCTATTACGTAAAAAAGAATGTTTAGACTAAGAAACATTTTTTATTATGGCAATATGTTTGCTAGTGTGACGCGGTACAGGTTTGTATAGAAATGAAAATAAAAAAAGGACGTGCCAAATTAATTTATGTTATAGGGCACACAAATGATTTTAATGCACTTTTTCGAGACATGAGCTAGGGCTGAAACTGCACCAAGGTGGCCAAATCGGTTGCACCTGGATTCCACGTTGCAGCATCCTCCATCTGTAAGAACCATTTAACAAAAACCTGTTGGTAATTTTATTCCATACTGATTAAGTCTGAATATAAATATGACTACGTTTTACAATGGTGCAATCCGTATGGTTTTAATTATAATTTATAATATACTACTATAATCCTTAGAATTATTTTTAAGACTGATTACAATTAATTAAAATATTGAAGTATTGTAATTTTGTAATGGCAACATTTATATTCAACTAGTATTTGAAAACTATAAATATTACTTTCAGTAATTTTATAGGACATTACTAGAAGTAAAATTGAACAATGATAATTCAGAATCAAGACTGATAACTCGAATATACGGTAACAATATTCTTGATAGCAATGTAAAAGTTCATTCTAAAATATAGTGTTTTCTATTATTATATTATTTTTCTTACCTATGGGTATCTAGCCTCATATAAACGTGTTTGTTTGCACTTCCATTGGCCACGACATCTGACCACAGACGTTCTGCAACAACTGCAGCGCGGGGCCATAGGTGGTAATCAAGGTTACCTAGATTTTAAACAATATAAAGGCCATTAACGAAAACAAAAGTTGATTATATTCAGATTATAGATAATATTATTTCTTTAATAAAGATATAAATACAAAAACCAATCTATTCTTATGCTTTAACACCATAGTTCAAGGACAATGAACGATGAATTATTCCTTGTTTACACTTTCTTCTTATGCTTTAATGAATATAGTTTAACGTAAAAATTGCTTACTTGAATCTACCAAGTCTGTCCATAAAATCGATTCTCCACCTTCCGTAGTAAACACATCAACATTTCTCCAAGATTTCCATGAATACATTTGTTGCCAAGTTCTGTAAATTAAATACAGTTTACCTAACATTCCCTTTGAATCTAGCGTAGTATAATTGAGAGAAACTACCTGTATCTTGTACATCTCTGCTTTCTCATTTCACAAGACAAATCCCACTTAGTAGAATGTATAACTCTAAATTTATTTAAATATGATTGATAAGGATTTGTATCCCATTCATCGATTTGCACACCTAACCTCTCCCAAGTGTTAGCTTCAAAATGTTTCATTAAATGTGACGTATACCAAATAATTGGCAGTTGAGGCAGAAATCCTTTATTTGCCATTTTCAGACGGAATAGAGCTTTATCTAGAAATCCTTCGCGATCATCAAATAAATAATAACAATTGGTCATCGAAAACACGCTATCACTCAAATGGAATACATCATCGACGTTTGTCATTTCAAGAATTTCGGAATATATTTTTTGGAGTACATCAAATGTAGAATCGTGCATAGTAAGACGCCTACAGAGATCATTATCGCAAGAAAGGCTGTTATTTTTTCGTGAACAAGTCGTGGAAGACAGCCAAGAGAAGGGTCTTCCGACGGGACCTGGTGCAGCTACTTCTATTAACACTCTTATTCCACGAACACCAGCTCTATTCACAATCATCCTGATATCTTTTTTTGTATACACCATTGATCTATCATAGGGTCCATATTCCTCAAATTCTGGTACTTTGGACAAGTTGAGTGGAAAGCTTGTAGCGTCAGATATTCTCCAATGAAATGTGTTCAATTTACATGTAGCCATAGCATCAACAGTTCTTAATAAGTCCACAACTGGTATGTAATTTCTTCCTGTGTCAACCATCAATCCTCTGTATTTGTAAGTTGGGGCATCTTTAATTATTGCACTGGACAGCATAATGAGGTAACCCGTGCTTTGATCTAACAAGATCAATTGACTTAGGGTTTCAAACCCATGTCGAGCACCACAAAATGATAGTCCACTTACTTTAATAATAACTTGATTATTTTTTGTTTCTATCTTCAACATATATCCCTCATCGGTATTAATACGTAATCGTGGATCAGTATCACTCTCTACATCTATAAGTATTACCATTTTTTTCACCGTATCCTTACTAAGGTTAGTCGGTTTATTTTGTAGTTTTTCTAATCTTGCCAAATCCTTTATGAACAACTTAAAAGCCTCTGCTAGGTATAAATGAACGCTATCTGATGGTACGGATTGAAATTTATATTCCAAGTTTTTTGTGGATACTGATACGATAGTTTTACTAAAATGGGTATAACCAATAGGGTAGGGCCAGAGCTGTGGACCCATGCACAACAAAGTACACCTACTGAATGATGTATAATGGCCTACGAATGTTGAAGGGCGAAAAACTTTGTGGCAAAAATTTTTACGACATTGCCAAGCCCATTCGGGCAACTTCTCGCTGGAAATAAAATATTTTTACCTATGTATAAGCAAATTTACACATGACTCAATAAACAATTAGGCATAACTTCAACTTGACTAGTGAGAATTTAAATAAATTTACTTTATTACGAAAGTTATCCACATATTAGACAGATATGAAGATATTCTATTATACCTTTTTATCTCCTAAATACGTTTGTTCTGAAAGACTTTTTACAATTGTATATGGTAAATATTTAAATACCTTTCTTCATCGGAATATTTTTGAACTGTTAGCTTTGTCGTTTTCTCTGTCAACCAAATCGGTATTGTAGCAAGGATGACTATAAGTATTAGAAACACAGAAGAGCAAAGGAACGCGTAAACTGTCCATTTAAATTTACGAGACCTGTAATTTAAACGGAAAAAGGAAAAAAATCTTAAAGTAAATGCATTTTTTAATTATTTATACATAGGTATAATTAGCATTGGGTCATAATATATATACAATAGAAACTCGATTAACCGAACTAATTGTTGTCGATAGGCATTCGGATAATCGAAAATCCGGATAATCGAATGTATGAAGAAAAAGCCGGTTTTTGTGCATATGTAGTACATAATATTATATGTTTATATAAAAAAAGTATCAAATACTTAACAACGAAATTCAATGGTTATTAATAAATAAATAAAGAATACAATTCCTTAGATTGCAAATACATACATATAAATGTGTGTACTAAAAACTGCAGATTTAATCATGAATTAAAATAATAAGTTTAATTTGGTTTAGAATATTTAGTAATTGTCATTTGACGTATGCCACACCAGTCCCTTACGCTTTGAAATTTTTTCTTGACCGGACTTGTCCGTAGTCCGAATAATCGCGAATCCGTATAACTGAGGCCCGGATTTAAGCACATTCTAATCAAAAGCAGTTGGGGCATGTTGGGTAATATTTTATTTTATTGCATTTTTTTAATATTAAAGATTTAAAACAGCCTACTAGATAGAAGGCAGTGACCGTCGCCCATTGCTTTGCGTTGCCAACCTTGATTGTGGGATACTTCTCTCTAGAGAGGAAAGGGTGAGCAAAGAGAAAGGGCAACCGGATCTCTCACTTATCGGACGAAACGCAGCCATTAAAGGCATTTTTCTAGCTGATTTTCTGTGAGAGGGTGGTACTTCCCCGGTCGAGCTAGCTTATGTAACTTGACAACAGATAGGCTTTACTACCTTTATGTCTTAGGTTCATCATATTTAATATGTCTATACTCATATTTGTAACCAACAACGAAAAGTATAACGTCGTTTACATTTAACAACGTACAAATTCTAGTTTCTATAACATTTTTATCTTACTCTTTCTCTTTCTGTTTAGAATCATCACAACTATCATCACATAGTTCTTTGGTACATCCCTGATCTCCACAAGTTGGGCCTTGATTAGTGCATTTTGTACACGAGCAGTCTGGCTGACAACTGTTATCGGATTCTTTAGGATCTAGACAAATGTAAAAATATTACTATGATTGAAATGATTTGGAAGTACAAGACTTGATAGTCCAACTTACGTAGGTGATATAGTTTACAAGCTGATAAATAAAATATATATACTATAAAGGTCAAATAGAGGAATAAATCTTATATAGAAATTATTTTTTTTGGAGACTTCCAACATTCAGCAATAAGTATGTATGTAATCTTTAATATTTTCGAGGGTATATACCTTGACACGTCTGCTTATTCATTGGTTCGGTTGTAATGGAATATATTTGGTTAGATTCAACGGAATCTTCATTTTGTATATAATGGGCTTCCATTTTTATGTCTTTGGAGTATGAAGACATTGTAGGTTCTCTGCCAAAGGAGTTCTTGAAGTCAAAACTCTCTGAACAATCATCAAACGTGGATAACGATGCTTCGGTAACAACTGATGGTAGTACTGTTATTGATGACTTAAACTGCAAGATTGGAGTTCGCTTCACCTCTTTACGATCCGAAATATACGGAGAAAATTGCTTTGAAGAATCCGATGATGTCTCCGTTAGTTGATTGTCTGGGTTTTGGTTTTGATAGCTCAGGGCAGCTTAAAAATTAGCATATTAAAATATATAGTATGTATCTAATTTAATTAATTTGATTTTTGATTAATGCTGATTCCCAAAAGAGGGTTGATGTCAGGCAGGCGGCCGTAAAAAACAATTAGCCAAAACTATTCACAACATGTAAGGCAGACCCTGGCTATAGCCGGGAAATTGCCAGGTAGAAGAAGAAGAAGTATCTAAGAGTAATATTTATACCTTTTATAGCACACTCAACATTATAAATAGTAGCTTCCATTTCTGATAATGTTTCACAAAATTTTAAAATAGTTATTTGCTCGTTTTTATCCAAATTCTTACAGATATCGGCATCCACTGCACCGGTTTTTGAATTCATACAACAATAATATAGAAGCATAGAAGTCATTATGTATAACTTCTTTGGATAATCTTTTATTTCGCATAAATTTCTAAGGATAAAAAATAGAATTTAGTATTACAAATACAATTATCTAGATACTTTCTTTATTCAATGCTAGTTTATTCTAGGATCTACCTCAGTCGTAATATTGGAAATTTAAGTTTTAGAAACGATTCAACATCTTCTGTATTTATAATAACAATGTCCCATTCGTCAGCACATATATCTTCTTTATATTTATTCATTACTTCCACCAGAATATTGAGATTGAATCTTTTTAAATCGTTTTGTCGTATGCATGTGTTGAGCTAAATAAAAATGCGTTTATAAAAATCGTATTTATAAAGAAACAGAATAATTATTTCTGTACCCATTTCAATAGTAATTCCGTCCATTTGCTTTCTATTAATTCTAATTTACAATCAGAACACGAATCTTCCAGCATTCTTAAGAAACAACCAAAAATATAAACAAGGGTTCCAATTTATAACAATTCAGACATTTATGATCATACAATTATTATGATAGAAGAAAAAACAGTTACAGTTTATATATAGTAAGAAGATTATAAATGAATATGTAATAAAACTTTTTCATTCGTATAAAGATTATAGCATTAATAATTATTATCTAATTAATAAGTGCTTTATAATAACTATTACACATGTTTGTAGATTACAACGTTGTATTTGAGATATTTGATTATAGATCTTAGGAATTTCATTAAATATACATTTAATAAATTGTTAAAAATAAACTGAATGTGAAACATTAATACAGATAGGAGTCCCTTAAACCTACACCAGGGTCGCAAGTCCCAGTCACTGTTGAAGCTCCTCTCACTACAACGATGGACCCGACACACGCACCGTGAATACATTGAATGATGAGAGGTTTTGTCTCTTCTCTATTAGTACTTAGATAATATTGAAATAACATAAGATTGTTACCTTTAAGCAATTAAATAAAATTATCGTTTTAAACTATTGTTTAACTAAACACAAATATGAGAGGTATAGTGTATTGATTCGTAATATTGTTTTTCTGACGTATGACCATATTTTGAAACACTTTTAGGAATATATATGTATGGAATATTTAATAAATTTTGATAGATTTATATATAAAATATCTTTCGTGTTATAATGTATTGTATGAAAATTATTTTTATAGAACATAACATTGAGTACTAAGTCACGTTCGACCGATTATAATACAAGTAAGAGTAATATTAAATTGTCTGAATTTCACGGTCAATGAATTATGTAATCTCAATGCTATGTTTAGAGGTCGTGCGACTAATACGGTCTCTGTAACGACTTTTATCATTGCACGTACTATCTCTTTTTATTTAGATGCATTTCAATCGAACTTTACATTTAATTAAAACCTTTTTTTTTGACATATTAAACCTCTTTTGTTAATTTTTTTTTAATTTCTGTGAAGCAATACGCCTACGATTGGGGTTATTCATACATAGTTTTGTCTATATTTTCCTCGTTTTTATAAACAAGACCTAGACCTGATCCATTGTTGTCGACCTAAATAACATCAATTAAAGTTTTTCATTCCGAGAATAGATTTTATATTCAATAACTCTGTTAAAATAAGATATTACATTGCAATGTAAACTTAGATGAGTAGATTATTAGTAGTATTAGTAAAATTGGGAAAATAAGAAAAAATGTAATCATCTCTAAATTTATATTACTTTAATCAACAATATTATTTCATGTTATCCTATATTATATTGGTATCCTATATTATTTTATGACTTTCTTAGTACTTTTTTATATTTGAATTTTATTTTCTCTGTACTGATTATTATTATGCCAAGTTTTGATATCCAAAAAAACATGTTAAAATGTACTCCTAAAATTATATTTATCTTTGTTAGATATATTAACAAATATTACGAGCTCACTAACGAACTAACTCGAAATAGGTTCATTGTGGATTTGTATTCGGTAAAAGTGGGAGCGAAATTTATAACGGCTCAATCTCTCTACAACCTACTAAAAGTCTTGGTCCTGTCCAGAACTTATATCAATTCATTGTTGGAACGTACATCGTAGGCATCCCTAGTAGGTTGTTTCAAATTTGGTAGAGAGAGGAGTTTGAACAGTGGAGGTGAGCGTTTAAATCGCGTGAGATAGGGGTCCCTTAAACCTACACCTGGGTGTCAAGTCACAGGCACTGTTGAAGCTCCTCTCTATACAACGATGGACCCGACACACGCACCGTGAATACATTGAATGATGAGAAGTTTCGTCTTGTATAATAAAACGCAGACTCTTAGGTAGTATTGTAGGAACATTTTAAATTTAAAAGAATAGATTTAAACAATGAAAGATTATTTAGCACCCACATGCGTTTTTAAATAATAATTTAATATTACTATAAAAAAAATTTAATCGTTTTATTTGAATAAACAATCTCGTATTTCTGTTGCAAAAGAAATATATATGTAACTAAGTGCACCAGTAACAAAAAAAAGACAGACAGCTATTTTTATATGTATAATTTAAGTATTTTATAATAATTTCATCTCCACGGGTCAATAGAACCATATTCTTACACGAGTTGTGTGATAATTCCGAGTTTATGTAACTCGATAAACTTTGTATGTTAGTGATAATGATTTTTGCTTAAATCGTACTTACTATCATATTATTATTAACACATGTTCTCATATTAATATTATTTCCATTACCACACAATTCACAAATATATATACAGAATTTGATATTGGTATTGCAAATTAACGAACACTGTTTAAAATAATCAGAACGGATATTAAAGATAATAAAAAGTGAAGGTAACTTAATGGTAATTAGGTTTTATATTTATCTCACTACAGTAAAACTTTGTTAAAATCTGTTTAAGATTATAATAATAATTATATAGTTTATAGTTTTAAATGAATTTAATTATATATTTGTATCTGATATCTTCTAAAAAGATTCGAGCCTTTTTATTTATTTTTATCGAGAATTTATCAACTATCTTCTACCTGGTAATTTCCCAGCTATAGCCAGGGTCTGCCTTACATGTTGTGAATAGTTTTGGTTAATTGTTTTTACGACCGGCCGTCTGCCTGACATCAACCCTCTTTGAGAATTTATCAACTATATAATTTACAAGTAAACATTTATTCAAATCGATCAAGATTTCTCTTAACCAGACTTAAATGCGCTTTATATACACATATACAATTTTATTTTTGCTTCCTAAATGAATAATATAAAAATGAAATATTATAGCACAGAGAAAATAAATGAAAATATTTTAAGAAAAAGAATAGAATTAAATCATATATTATAAATTCTGTACATTGAAAGCCATATTCAAAGTCGATGCCAAATCATTCACAAGAAATAAGAGAATCTGTTTAAATTTAAATCGATAAAAATGTCCTATATACTTAAATATGGATTAATAAGTAATCAAAAAGTTCTTTACATTTTTTCTCATTTTAAACACTCCTCTTCATAACAATTTATGGATACCAAAAAGGTATGATAGTCTTAAATGATAAAAGTAATATCGGAAGAAATAATTCTAATTCTGGAGTGAGAATTATCCCATAGTACGCTACTGATCTTATTTTCGCTCTTATCTACTTTTGGATACAAAACCCTTAAATTATAAATCATACTATCATTATAATCGAATAAAAATAAATAGTTTTTTTGCAAAAATCACAGTTAATGAGGTTGATTTGTATATGAAGAAGTAATAGTAAAGAAACTACATATATATCTTCAAAATACATAGTTCTTTTTAAAATATTTTTTCTTTATTCGATTTCGCTATTTATCCATTATTTTTTTTTAATTTAAGTATTGAAAGAAAGCTTATACTATGCGTTATATTATTAAAATTAAAACATTGTATATCTATTCAGTACATTTACTAAAAGCTTGTAACGTTACAATATACGAGTATATAAAGGGTTAAAATTTTTTGTTTCGTAAACCTTCATAATATAAGGTGCGAAAATTTATGAAAAAAAAAATGGAAACATTTACATCCGTATTTAATTTGATCATGCAAAGTTACAGTACGGATAATAAGAGACGACTTCTCATCATTCCATGTATTCACCGTGCGAGTGCCGGGTCCATCGTTGAAGTGAGAGGAGCTTCAACAGTGATTGGGACTTGTGACCCAGGTGTAGGTTTAAGGGTCCCTATCTAAAGCGTTAAACGCTCACCTCCACCGTCCAAGCTCCTCTCTCTACCAAATTTGATTCTAACCTACTAGGGCTGCCTTTGATATACGTTCCAAGAATTTATTAATGTGAGTTCTGAACAAGCCCAAGTCTTTTAGTAGGTTGTAGAAAGATTTAGCCGTTATATCTCTTGCTCTTAGTTTTACCGCGTTCCAATTTCTACTTCTACAAGGTGTCAGAATAATATGTGATTTTATTAATTTTTACACATTTTTACTCAAATTTTATCGGAATCCGAAATGAAAGTAAAAGCTTAATGAGATTTAAAGCGTTGTTCATACAGCTAGTGTCTTTAAGATTGAAGAAGAAGATACAAATAACAAATGTTTTCAATATTGTTGAATAAATTTTACTTTATTTCATCTTAAATTACTAAGATTTTTT